GTGGACATTGGATACAGCCATGAGGGGCTGCAGCAGCAGGGTGCATACCTGCATTCCAGCATCAAGTCTGTCTTTTGCACTCCTCCTTCCTCTGGGTGCCCCCCCTGCAAGCATGAAGCGTACACCTCAATGTTCAATCTTGCCAACATGCAACACCTGTAAGTGTCACAGCTTGTCAACACCAATAACTGAACCCTTCCAGAGCTAAAAGCACAAGTCCTTACAGCTTGTGCTAGAGAGACAGGCTCTCAAGCAAAGAGCTGTCACAGACTCCTCTCCTCTGTGTATTAGACACATGCAGTGTTGGAGTATTAACACAGTGTGAGAGGGTGATAGGATTTGCATTAGCAAAAACCCCTTTAGACACGTGTTTTTTTGTGAGTTCTAATTCTGTCAGGAGTAAGCCCAAGTGTTAGACTCTATTATTTGCATTCACAGATTTTCATGCTTGAAGAGTGTAAAAGCAGGTGGTTGTTCGGTAATTTATACATTTAAAATTATTGTAGACTGGATTAACTAATGAAAAGCAGAAGTCACTTAATTTGGATGCATTGGTGGATTCCAACTCATCCCTATAATACTAACTGCAATAAACAGGGCTCTGATCCTCAATTCTTACAGTACAAGCATTTGTGGACTTTGAATTATAAATGACAGGGCAATTACACTGAAAACTGTGTTCCAACGGTACAGCCCAGACAATTAATTATGACATTTGTGTTACATATGAGTATAGCCCTATTCAATTTAATAGGGAAAAAATCCACTTCCTGAGGTTGCCCTATTTAAGCAGGTTTCCTCCATTATCCACTTTGGGTGACCTCGGATGTGTTAGGATTTGTCTACACGGTGCCAGCAAACACTAGAGGGGTGTGATTTGTAAAGCACTCTAACATGCTGCACTCTGTGTAGATCCTCTTGGTGTGCTCTAAAAGGTACCTAGTTCACATTCAGGGTCTAATCTAACAGTTTGTCTACATGGTGGGTAATGCACACTACAGGAGCGTGATTTCTAAAGCTCACTAATGAGTTGCATATTAATTGGGCCACGTAGACCCTGCTAGTGTGTATTACAAGTTCCCCTAGTGCATTTTAATATAGTGCTGGTTCCATTATTAAATTATGGTGTGTGCATGTAATATCTGGTTAAAACTAATAAAACAAAATAAAATGGAAATAGGAGCCAGATTATATTAAGTAAACTCAAATAACTTATATAGCGTTAGGATGAAATTCAGCCCTGTGCAGAATGATTGCACAAGGCCTTTCATACTACTCAAACCCCACTTGCGCTAAATCCTTAATATAGAGTGCAGAGAGCCTTCCACACCCTCTGCATGGTGCTACATTTCACCCTTAGTTTGTGTTTGTATTTTCTTAGTTTGAGTTGAATTACAAGATTCTCTGAAGATACATTAAATGGCACATGGTATATTGTACCCACTATGTAACTAAAACATTTATGAATATCTGACTAGAATACTTGTATAGTGCATGTATTTAAAACAATTATTCTTGTTCCCCTCCCCCTCAAAAAATCTAGTGTCTTGCTAAATCTACAGTAACTCCTCACTGAAAGTCATCCCGGTTAACATTATTTTGTTATTAGGTTGCTGATCTATAGAGAATATTCTCGTTTAAAGTCGCACAATTTTCCATTATAAGGTTGTTTGGCTTGCCCCACTCTGCCCGCCCGGCATTCCAGCCAGGAAGCGGGCAAGCCCCCAACCCCACTTCCCAGCAGGAGTGCTAGGCGGGTGGAATGGGACAAGTCCCGACGCCCCGACCTAGCTACGCCCGTGCCTCAACCAAGCTTCACAATCATCATTGGTGAGTACAGTATTAAATGGTTTGTTTAAAATTATTTAAAACATATACTGTATATGTATATAATGTCTTTTGTCTGGCGAATTTTTTTTTCTGGAACCCAACCTCCTCTATTTACATTAATTCTTATGGGGAAATTGGATTCGCTTAACATCGTTTCACTTAAAGTCACATTTTTCAGGAACATAACTACAACGTTAAGTGAGGAGTTACTGTACTCATTATTTCCTCCAAAATATTTATTCATTTCCCTCCATCATGTGAATTCATTTCCTCCCATCCCTATCATTAAAAAGCTTTTTTAGGCCTTGGTCATCTCTCATTACACTATTGTAGCCAATCTTTCTTTCAGTAGATTACCTTTTACCTTGTCCTCCTCCAGCCTATTAGAAAAACAGCGGTACAGCCATGCCGGAGGAATAGCCTGCATTGGGCACTGGCTCCTGTGAGTGGCGGCCTGACATGCTGCTGCTTTCACCGTTGTGGTTCCCAGTAGAGCCCTCGAGCTCCGCGGATACCGATTCATATCCATGGATATCCGCATCCGTGATATATGGAGGGCTCTAACCATCATGATCATCTAATCTGACCTCCTGCACATTGTAGCCCACAGAACATCACCCACTCACTCCTGTAATAGGCCCCTAACCTGTGGCCAAGTTACTGAAGTCCTCAAATCATGGTTTAAAGACGTCAAGTTTCCCATCTTTTCATGTGCTGTATATTTATTCCTGCTTACTCTATTTTCCACTCCATGCAGCTGATGAAGTGGGTTATATCCCATGAAAGCTTATGCCTAAATAAATGTGGCACCTTAGAGACTAACAAAAGACTTCTCGTTGTTTTTCGAGAATTAACAATTTATACTAGTTTAAACCTGCAAGTGATCCATGCCCCATGCTGCAGAGCAGGAGTTCTCAACCTTTTTCTTTCTGAGCCCCCCACCCAACATGCTAGAAAAACTCCACGGCCCAGCTGTGCCACAGCAACTGTTTTTCTGTGTATAAAAGCCAGGGCCAGCATTAGAGGGTAGCAAACAGGGCAACTGCCCTGGGTCCCATACCACAGGGGGCACCGCAAAGCTTAGTTGCTCAGTCTTCGGCTTCAGCCCCAGGTGGTGGGGCTCAGTGCCCCACACTGCAATCCTGTGTGGCAGGGCTTCGGCTTTCTGCCCTGCGTTCTAGGGTTTGGTGGACCCCCTGAAACATGCTTGTGGCCCCCAGGGGGCCCTGGACCTCTGGTTGAGAACCACTAGTGCTGAGGAAGGCGAAATTCCCCCAGGGTCTCTGCCAATCATAGAATCATAGGAGATTAGGGTTGGAAGAGACTTCTGGAGGTCATCTAGTCCAACCCCCTGCTCAAAGCAGGACCAACCTCAACTAAATCATCCCAGCTAGGGCTTTGTCAAGCCTGACCTTAAAAACCTCTATGGATGTAGATTCCACCACCTTCCTAGGTAACCTATTCCAGTGCTTCACCACCCTCCTAGTGAAATAGTTTTTCCTAATATCCAACCTAGACCTCCCCCACTGCAACTTGAGACCATTGCTCCTTGTTCTGTCATCTGCCACCACTGAGAACAGCCTAGCTCCATCCTCTTTGGAAACCCCCTTCTGGTAGTTGAAGGCTGCTATCAAATCCCCCCCTCACTCTTCTCTTCTGCAGACTAAATAAGACCAGTTCCCTCAGCCTCTCCTCATAAGTCATGTGCCCCAGCCCCCTAATCATTTTCACTGCCCTCTGCTGGACTGTCTCCAATTTGTCCAATTCCTTTCTGTAGTACGAGGCCCAAAACTGGATGAAATACTCCAGACGTGGCCTCACTAATGCTGAATAGAGGGGAATAATCACATCCCTCGATCTGCTGGCAATGATCCTACAAATGCAGCCCAATATACTTTTAGCAAGAAGGGCACACTGTTGACTCATATCCAGCTTCTGGTCCACTGTACTCCCCAGGTCTTTTTCTGCAGAACTGCTGCTTAGCCAATCTGCCAATTGCCAATCTGACCCGTGGGAAAATTCCTTCCCTATCCCAAATATAGCAATCAGTTTGAACCTGAGCATGTGGGCAAGATTCACCAAGCAAAGAATTTTCTGCAGTAACCCAGAGCCCTCCTCATCTAGTGTTCTGTCTCTGGCTATTGGCTATCATATCTCCCCTCAGCCTTTTTTTGGTTAGGCTAAATAAGCCAAGCTCTTTAAGTCATCTCTAATAAGGCAGATTTTCCATTCTTTGGATCATCCTAGTAGTCCTTCTCTGCACCTGTTCCAGTTTGAATTCATCTTTCTTAAACGTGGGAGACCAGAATTGCACACAGTATTCCAGATGAAGTCTCACCAGTGCCTTGTATAATTGTACTAGCACTTTCCTGTCTCTACTGGAAATACCTCACCAGATGCACCCTAGGACTGCATTATCCTTTTTCACGGCCACATCACATTGACAGCTCATAGTCATCCTGTGATCAACCAATACACCCAAGTCTTTCTCCTCCTCTGTCTCTTCAAACTGATAAGTCCCCAGCGTATAGCAAAAATTCTATTGTTATTAGTCCCTAAATGCATTACCTTGCACTGTGCACTATTAAATTTCATCCCATTTCTATTACTCCCGTTTACAAGGTCATACAGATCTTCTTGTATGATATTCCAGTCCTCCTCCATATTGGCTATACCTCCCAATTTTGTGCCATCCACAAATTTTATTAGCACACTTTGTGCCAAGGTCAGTAGTAAAAATGTTAAATAAGATTGGTCCCAAGACCGATTCCTGAGGAACTCCACTAGTAACCTCCCTTCAGCCTAACAGTTCACCTTTTAGTATGATCCATTGTAGTCTCCCCTTTAACTAGATCCTTATCCACCTTTCAATTCTCATATTAATCCCCATCTTCTCCAATTTAACGAATAATTTCCCATGTGGAACTGTATCAAATGCCTCACTGAAATCCAGGTAGATTAGATCTACTGCATTTCCTTTGTCTAAAAAAAGTCAGACCATTCTCAAATTATCTTGTAACTAATTTAAAAAGACAGCCAGTTTTTGGATATTATAATTATCTAAGTCACTATCGCTCTTGAGAAAAATGACTAGTTAATTCATTTTTTGGCTGAACACATGACATTCCTACAGAGAAATGTTAACATTCTGAAGCATAAGGCTGGCCTACCTGTTTGCGCATCACATCTGTAGCTTGCATAATATAGCGAGGAGGTAGTCCATGGCTCCGAGCAAGAATTATAGCCTGCTCCAGAGTGACACTCAGAGTGCAGCTGCAGTGAGAGACAGAATTAAGTCAGGTATCTGTTGTCATTACATCTCCTAAACAGTTACTGGTTGCTCAAAGAGTATAGATCAGAATCCAAAAACATATATCTAAGTTATTATATAGACAGAAATGTTCCTTAAAAACCTGCAGAAAGCAACATAAATGTACAATGATACAGCTACATACTAGCGCAGGCAAGAAACACACTCATCCTGGAAGTTACTTAAGAACATAAGAATGGCCCTACTGGGTCAGACCAAAGGTCCATCTAGCCCAGTATCCTGCCCTCTGACAGTGGCCAATGCCAGGTGTCCCAGAGAGAATAAACAGAACAGGCAATCACCAAGTGATCAACCCCCTGTTGCTTATTCCCAGCTTCTGGCAAACAGAGGCCAGGGACACCATTCCTGCCCATCCTGGCTAATAGCCATTGATAGACCTATCCTCCATGAATTTATCTAGTTCTTTTTTGAACCCTGTTATAGTCTTGGCCTTCACAACATCCTCTGGCAAGGAGTTCCACATGTTGACTGTGTGTTGTGTGAAAAAAACACTTCCTTATGTTTGTTTTAAACCTGCTGCCTATTAATTTCATTTGGTGACCCCTAGTTCTTGTGTTATGAGAAGTAGTAAACAACATTTCCTTATCTACTTTCTCTACACCAGTCATGATTTTATAGACCTCAATCATATCTCCCCTTAGCCATCTCTTTTCCAATCTGAAAAGTCCTAGTCTTATTAATCTCTCCTCACACGGAAGCCGTTCCATACCCCTGATAATTTTTGTTGCCCTTTTCTGAATCTTTTCCAATTCTAATATATCTTTTTTGAGATGGGGCGACCACATCTGCATACATTATTCATGATGTGGGCATATCATGGGTTTATATAGAGGCAACATGATATTTTCTGTCCTATTATCTATTCCTTTCTTAATTATTCCCAGCATTCTGTTTGCTTTTTTGACTGTTGCTGCACATTGAGTGGATGTTTTCAGAGAACTATCCACAATGACTTCAAGATCTCTTTCTTGAGTGGTAACAGCTAATTTAGACTCCATCATTTTATATGTACATTTGGGATTATGCCTTCCAATGTGCATTACTTTACATTTATCAACATTAAATTTCATCTGCCATTTTGTTGCCCAGTCACCCAGTTTTGAGAGATCCTTTTGTAGCTCTTCGTAGTCTCCCTGGATCTTAACTATCTTTAGTAATTTTGTATCATCTGCAAATTTTGCCACCTCACTGTTTACCCCTTTTTCCAGATAATTTATGAATATGTTGAATAGGACTGGTGGGGGAACACCACTATTTACCTCTCTCCATTCTGAAAACTGACCATTTATACCTACCCTTTGTTTCCTATCTTTTAACCAGTTACCAATTCATGAGAGCACCTTTCCTCTTATCCTGTGGCAGCTTACTTTGCATAAGAGCCTTTGCGGAGGGACCTTGTCAAAGACTTTCTGAAAAGCTAAGTACACTATATCCACTGTATCCCCTTGGTCCACATGCTTGTTGACTCCCCTCAAATAATTCTAGTAGATTGGTGAGGCATGATTTCCCTCCACTAAAAACATGCTGATTCTTCCTCAACAAATTATGTTCATTTCTATGTGTGACAATATTGTTCTTTATTATAGTTTCAACCAGTTTGCCCGGTACTGAAGTTAGGCTTACAGGCCTGTAATTGCCGGGATCACCTCTGGAGCCCTTTTTAAAAATTGGCGTCACATTAGCTATCCTCCAGTCATCTGGTACAGAAGCTGATTTAAATGATAGGTTACAGACTACAGTTAGTAGTTCTGCAATTTCACATTTGAGTTCCTTCAGAACTCTTGGATGAATACCATCTGGTCCTGGTGACTTAGATCTGTCACCTAAAAAGAATGGCTCAGGTTTGGGAACTCCTTCATTTATTTTCTCCGCAATGGCCTTGAGTGTGCCTTTAGCATCTTGATCGTCCAGTGGCCCCCTGGTTGTTTAGCAGGCTTCCTGCTTTTCATGTACTTAAAAAAAATTTGCTATTACTTTTTGAGTCTTTGGCTAACTGTTCCTCAAACTCTTTTTTGGCCTTCGTAATTGTATTTTTACACTTCATTTGCCAGTGTTTATCCGCCTTTCTATTTTCCTCACTAGGATTTAACTTCCACTTTTTAAAGGATGCCTTTTTGCCTCTCACTGCTTCTTTTACTTTGTTGTTTAGCCATGGTGGCACTTTTTTGGTTCTCTTACTATGTTTTTTAATTTGGGGTATACATTTAAATTGAGCCTCTATTATGGTGTCTTTAAAAAGTTTCCATGCAGCTTGCAGAGATTTCACTTTTGGCACTGTACCCTTTAATTTCTGTTTAACTAACCTCCTCATTTTTGTGTAGTTCCCCTTTCTGAAATGAAATGCTACAGTGTTGGGCTGGCATGGTGTTTTTCCTGCCAGAGGGATATTAAATTTAATTATATTATGGTCACTATTACCAAGCAGTCCAGCTATATTCACCTCTTGGACCAGATCCTGTGCTCCACTTAGGACTAAATCAAGAATTGTCTCTCCTCTGGTGGGTTCTGGGACCAGCTGCTCCAAGAAGCAATCATTTAAAGTGTCAAGCAACTTTATCTCTGCATGGCGTCATGAGGTGATATGTATCCAGTCAATATGGGGATAATTGAAATCCCCCATTATTATTATTGAGTTTTTTTTATTTTAATAGCCTCTCTAATCTCCCTGAACATTTCACAGTCACTATCACCATCCTGGTCAGGTGGTTGGTAATATATCCCTACTGCTATATTCTTATTATTAGAGCATGGAATTTCTAACCATAGAGATTCTATGGTACAGTTTGATTCATTTATGATTTTTACTTCATTTGATTCTATGCTTTCTTTCACATATAGTGCTATTCCCCAACCAGCACGACCTCTTCTGTCCTTCCAATATATTTTGTACCCTGGTATTACTGTATCCCATTGATTATCCTCATTCCACCAAGTTTCTGTGATGCCTATCATATCAATATCCTCATTTAATACCAGGTACTCTAGTTCACCCATTTTATTATTTAAACTTCTAGCGTTGGTATATAAGCACTTTAAAAATTTGTCTCCTTTAAGCTGTCTGCCATTACACAATGTAACTGAATGGAACTCTTTTTTATTTGACTGTTTCTGATCAGACCCTGCCTGTATTTTATCATTTTCCATCCTCTCGTCCTCACTAGGACAGAGAGATTCTCTATTAATAGATCTTCCCCTAAGGGATGTCCGAACCATGTGCTCCTCCACACTTGTCGGCTTTCCCCCAGCCCTTAGTTTAAAATCTGCTTTATGACCTTTTTAATGTTAAGGGCCAGCAATCTGGTTCCATTTTGGTTTAGGTGGAGCCCATACTTCCTGTATAGGCTCCCCCTTTCCCAAAAGTTTCCCCAATTCCTAATAATATAACCCCTCCTTCTACACCATCGTCTCATCCATGCATTGAGACCCTGCAGTTTTGCCTGTCTGTCTGGTCCTGCGCGTGGAACTGGGAGCATTTCAGAGAACGCTACCATGGAGGTCTTGGATTTCAATCTCTTACCTAGCAGCCTAAATTTGGCCTCCAGGACCTCTCTCCTATCAGGGCCGGCGCTTCCACTAGGCGACCCTAGGCGGTCGCCTAGGGCGGCAAGATTTGGGGTGGGCGGCATTTTGCCGCCCTCGGTGGCAATTCGGCGGCAGGGGGTCCTTCTGCTCCGGGTCTTCGGCGGCAGGTCCTTCACTCGCTCCGGGACCCGCCGCCGAAGTGCCCCAAAGACACGGAGCAGAAGGACCCCCGCTGCCGAATGCTCAGAGGAGGAGCGCTGCCGCCTAGGGCGGCAAAAACCCTGGCGCCGCTCCTGTCTCCTATCCTTCCCTATCTCATTGGTACCTACATGTACCACGACCACTGGCTCCTCCCCAGTAGGGCACTTACATCAACAGGAGCAAGGCTGTAATGTATACACTGACTTAATAGACATAAGGTCTACGTAAGCTGCCTTATGTCAACCTAATGCTGTAGTGTAGACCAGGCCCCTCCTGTGTGCAAAATAGACATGTTTTTGGACACATTACAATGAGAGGGAACACTGAACAGTTTACAGCTTTGATAAATGTAATTGCAAAGGTTAACAATTCTTTTGGCCAATTTAATTTCTAAAAGTGCTTTGATGTTATTTAATCTATGCAACTTCAGAGAGACTTTTTCACTTCATTAAGGAGAGGAGGACTTGGCCCTTAACTACAACTGGAGGCAACACTTTCCAAGTTTTTTTTTCTTTAATTTAAAATTAGCAGCCATGGTGATATCAAACTTCACTATTAGCTGTATCTGTACAATGCTCCTAAAAAAGACTGAGGGACACTACATAGTTTTCATAAATTAAATTTATCAGCCCTGATCCTCCATTCTGTTCAGTGGAGTTACAATGGCATAGAACTAATGTCAAATGGGAGACTGAGACCGAAAAGTGTGTGGGCCCAGAGCAAGTCACTTCAGTGAGTCAGGGACTCCCAGCTTTGTGCTCATTCTTCCAGACCACACTGCCCAATACATTTTTGGGAAGATGTCTTCAGTTTTGGGCCTCAATTCTGCTCTAGTTCAATCAAATGACAAAAATCTCAATGACTCGAGTGGGAGCAGGATCAAGTCCTTTGCTACCTTATTCAGTTATATCTCCTCATTTGATAACCACGGGGAGTACATTTCAGAGTGAAAAGTCCTGCCCTGAAACCATTCTGGCACCAGCACCAGACAAAAAACTAGGGACAATCAGCTTGGACACACCGGCTGACCTCATCTATTACGGTGAGACAAGGGTGGAAAGATGATTTCTCAGATAGCCAGGACAACAGCCACACAGGGCTTAGCAAATCGAAGTCAACTCCTTGAGCAAAGCCTATGTACTTCTTGGATAATGTAACACATACTGTTTGGCTGCACCACCTAATAGGTAGGTAGCTGCAATCTGCACCAAATGAGTTT